GCTAAACTGCAGAAATAATAATAATAATAATTCATTTAAATGCAGCAGTTACCCCGGAAACCCTGTAAAGAAAGCAGCTGCACTACTTTCTGTTTCTGAAAGGTGTTTAAATTATTTAAACAGCCATTCAGATTTGTGTATTTGCTATTATGTTGATCACAGCGCCAAATACTTAAATATTTAGACTTAATAGGCTATTTATTTTCAAACTTTTTTTACATTTTAATCTGGACTACAACATGCCCTAGATATTGTTTGAAAGTGTTTTGATTATTGTTCGGTCACACTTTACATTAGGGCTTCATTAGTTAACATTAGTTAACATAAACTGCCAATGAAAAATTATTCTGAACATTCTTAATACATCTTAGGTATTCCAATATTTAATAACAGTTCATGTTAGCTCATTAAATAACACCACAGTTGCAACTTTCGATTTTAACAACCTAAGACTTGTATTTTTTTTAAACAAAGATTAATAACTTCTGTAGCAAATGTAGCTATTGATCATTGTGAATGTTAATGCATTAACTAAGGTTAACTAATGAGGTCTTATTGTAAAGTGATACCTATTGGTCTTTATAGTTCTTTTGCACTTTAATCTGTGTAAAATTTTAACTTTATACATTTTTTCTGTATTGCTTCATTGCATTTAAATGTTCAGTTATTTTTGTTATAAGAAAAAAAGCTATTAAACCTGTTATACTGTATTATGACAGCACTTTTTTTAAACTAAATTTAAATATTGTGATAATACCGTATACCGTGATAAAAGCATTAGCAATTAATCGCAACATGAAAATTTGATACCGGCATATCCCTACATATAATCGACTGTGTTTACTTGAATACTCCACACGACGGGCATTATGACATTACTGCGTGCATATTTGACCATTCAAGCACAATAAAACACGAAAGAGATCTGTTTTTGCGATTGCATGCTGTCGAGAGAGGGGCTTTCAGTGCGCGTGCTTCGGCTGTGTGTTAGTCAGCGCAAGCACCGTATTGAGTTCTTTTTCACTGCTTATTGCACTTAATGGGCCTCATTTATCAATCAAAAACACAAATTAGGCTATAGTGGCATTCATTATAAACAGCATACAAATGTCAAGCAAAACTGAAACAGCATTGGGCTCACGAGCCTGTCTCATACCACAAGAATCCAAATGTTTCCATTTTTGCCATATTTGTAACATTTGTTTGCATACCTATTTTTCATTATGTAGACTAACCATGGCTTTATACTTCACTCATGTTCTAATATCCGTGTAAAATCCTTCAAATGTGCAAAAATGTTTGTTTGGGTGCTGCATGCTGATTTTACAGTGGACCTTTTAAAATAAACAGTGTAACTTTTATTTTTGGTTGACTGCATTTTAGTTTGATGATGAATGGCTGAATGTCAGGCAACGCTGGAACTAATGTTGTTTGTGTGTGTGTGAGGTGCCTGTGCGATCAGATGAATTAAATCAAATAAAGAAAAGAAATAAAATGCATTAAGAGTGTCACAAAAACGAGCGTAGCCTATACCTGTTGCACAGTGTTTTTTCTTTTCCTTTTGTTAATCTGTTAATTATATTATAGCCTATTATATATTTTGTGTGATCCTATTTATTTTATTCCTTTTATATACTTAATTTCTGTTTTTCCTCCTCTCACAGAAGCGTTGCAGGTGCATGATGCGACGACTGAATCCTCATGGTCTTGTTTACGCTGCTATTCGTACACGAGCTGAGACCAGACGTGATATTTGATCGTAGCCACCACTCACATCCATATTGATAAATTCCAAGTTTTGCGTTGAAACGACCGTACGCCCACTTTTCTGTCGTACGTTCGTTTTGTAAATGAGGCCCAATAACTGTCCCACTCTTTATTTTCTCATTCATGCATGTTTCCTTATCACTCTAAAGGTGAATAACGTTTAAGCAGTACTGTGTTACGCAGATATATTTGCATACCGTGGAATACAGGATACAGCAAAATCTCTAACGATAGACACTTTATTTCACGGTAACGATATATACCATCATACCGCCCAGCCCTAGTGCAACTTATAACATACAAGTGAAAGATACAACACCAACATGTCAGAAAAACAAGTAATAAAAATAAAAAGCCAGAATCACTGAGTTGGAAAAAGGATCACCCCCTCCTAAAAATGAAGACAAAGAGTGGTCGTTGTGTGCATGTGACAACATTATCACAAATTCTCCACAAATGTGGCTTGTATGTAAAGGTTGCAAGAAAAAAGCCACTCCTCAAGAAAGGCCACATGCAGTCACGACTGAGCTTTGCCAAAACACACATTGAGGATTCTGAGGCAGATGAGACTAAAATTGAAATATTTGGCCTCAACAGCAAACAATATGTCTGGCAGAAATCCAATACAGCTCACCATCCAAATAACACCATTGCTACAGTAAAGCATGGAGGTGGTAATATCCTGTTATGGGGGTGTTTCTCTGCAGCAGGGACTGGAGCACTTGTCAGGA